TAGAGCCCTTAAGCTAACGTTTCCTTGGTACGTCGGCTGTCTCTCCCTAGATGAAACTATCAAAAGTCAATGATCATTGGGACAGACGATTTGTGTCCTTAACCCGGCCATGATCGTACCAGAGAATTAACCCGAGTTTGAACCGACAATGGCAATTTTCTGAGAAAGTTTGAATGCCCAAGCGCTGGGGTCGTTTGTGATCTTCAGCGCCTTGCGGTGGAGATTTGTGTTTTGCAGGAAACCCGTTTTAGAGCCGACGATTACGATGGTATACTTTCGCAGAGGTTTGAACTCTACTCAGAGAATTATGATGGCCATTCAAGAAGCGTTTCTTGGTAGGTAAGCCGTTCTTTGAAAGTGATGAGTACGTTCGTCTTCCCGGATCCAGCGGACAGACTTTGTGTTTTGAATATTGCCATAAAGGATAAGGCATTTCATTTTATTGGGGTCTAAACACCCAATAACTACAAAGAGCTGTCCTATTTTTTTCGGATGATCAATCCGTTTCAGATGACATAGCGTCGGATAGTTCTAGCGGGTGACTGGAATGTCGTCCCCGATCCCGATATAGATCGCAGGCACTAACAATCCGGATGTAAAACCATTTCACGAGTTTACCGGCAGGTTGGATCTTGTCGATAAGTTCCAAAATTAATTGTCCCGGGAGTTTCCACTCGATAGTTTATTCGGGTCATAGGCTTGTCCGGGTTCGTCTAAACTTAGATAAGGCTAGATTTAGCATAAATGGTTTTAACAGATCTTTGTCCGATGAAAAGAATTTTCAAAGCCGGCATCGATGCTTTTGTGACTTGTTGGAAATATCAGGTGAAACCACAACTTTTTCACATCCGTCTATTCAGCTACTACAGCCCACAGGCATCATTTTACCGGCTGTACCAATATGATATTTATGACCACAAAAGATGCCACTTTGTGTCTGATCTTAATAATTGCAAACATACCCTCAAAGAGGCTGTCTTTGTTCGCTGACAGAATGAGGCACCATATAGTCTCTAACAAGATCGGTTCTCGTGACTACTGGCAGCTCTGTCATAATGTGTTAAATAAGAGTAAATCTAGCCTTCTCTATTCACTCAATTTGAGATGTTAACATCTACTGATAAAGCAAAATGTTTTGCTTGTAAATCCTCTTCCAATTCTACTCTTTACTCATCTGGAGTATCTTTGTCTAAATTTCCACTCCTGAGTGGTATGCATATAAATCCGTCCATGGTTTCTGCTATCTTTTCTAGCCATCTAATCTGAATCTCTACAAAGCATGAGGACTTAATGGTATCCCTGCGATAATCCTAAGGAAAGTCGATCATGAACTGTCTCCTGTTTTTTCTAAACTCTACAATAAATGCCATGCTGCTTCTTGCTTTCCTGCTTGTTCGAAATCCTCTCCTGTAGTTCGTTTTTAAGAACTCAGGCGAACCGTCTGAACCTTCTAACTATCGGCTTATTAGCCTACTACCTCTTTTTGGCAACGTACTAGAGTTTCTAATAAACTCCAAACTGTTTAAGCATCTCAACTCGCAGAGCCTTCTTTCTCTGGACCAAATGCTGATATGTTATGGTTATTGTTGAACGAGTTTATCAAACTATAGATAAGAATAGTGACTCTCCGACTGTTGCTTTGGATATCTCGAAGGCGTCGTACAAGGTTTTTAAATACAAATGTGCTATATATGAATAAAGTGTCGCTGCCGACACTTGAGTTTGAACATAGTGAGCAAACACTGGCGATCCCATTATTGAATTAAGTAGACCACGTGGCCACAGAAGAAACGCATAAGTAGGAATTAGCTTTGCGTCTAAATGATTTGCATTTCTAGTCTATTCTCTATTACTATACGGACCGCTATTTCTCTTTTCGGATCACTCTACGGATTACTATTCGAGCGAGTATTGTCGAGCAAGTACTATTAGTATGAGACTTATTCGAAGGCGTCTGAAATCAGTATTATTCAACGGCGTACTATAGTTTTATCTGCGATTACAAAGTCTCTACTATAACGAGCATTACGACAGTGACAACGAGTATTCATTGACATTACAAAAGTCCCAAACGAGTGTTCGTTGATATCACAAAAAATGATTTATTGAACAAGCATCTCTATGTTTTCATTATTCTTATTTTATTATAGTTTGGAATTCGGACGTCCAAGGTTTTAAGTTGAAAGGTTATTATATTTCTGATTCAATCTTTCTTAAAAAATCGCGAATTGAAAGTTATTTTAAACGGCCACTCTTCTAGATCTTTTCTGCATTAATGCGGAGTGTCCACCAGGGCGATATTCTTGTACCTACTTTGTTGCTAATTTTCATCAACGACCTTCTCAATGTCATCAATTATCAACTCGGTATCTATGGCGATGACAGTTATTTACTCTTGTTTTAATGGTCCGTCTAATCGGTTCAATAAGATCAAGTCGGTAGCCGATCTAAACAATTACTTACACTCTGTTGTTATCTGGGACAAAAAATAGCTTGTTAGTTTTAACGTCTCCAAAACAAAACTGCTCTTTTTTAATCACCTGAGAGAACTTTTTTTGCTTTCTATCAGCATGGCTGATGCTAATCTTCAAAAGAGTGACTCATTGCACCTTGCAGTGGACCGTGGCTGTGATGTTGTTGAGTAGACGTAGAAGAAACGCATGTGCGTTCAGATTTTCCTGCTAGCTGGTCCAACTACACGAGAAAGTTGGACTTTAATTAAGTCCAAAGAAGAAGGCAAAGAAAACAAACAAAACACAAGACCGACAATATATGTATACAAATATATATATTAATAACAAGTTACATGGAAACAGTTACAAAGGACAAAGTGTGTGTGAATATTATATAAGTGGTGTGTGTGTGTGTGTGTGTGTATTGTGCTTAGCGTGTTCCCAACATTTTGGGAAACGCTATCTCTGGTGAGCGTTCACAGCTTCGAGGTAATATGGCTGAAAGCCTGAGGGAAAAGAGAGATTTACCTCCAAGTGTCGACTCAAAGGCCTGAGGAAAAAAAAGAGGAAGAGGCGAAGAGGTCAGCGACTATTTATAGCCAGGGAAGAGAGACCCCTGGTGAAAGGGTTAACGAACTAAAGGAGGAGTTAACTCCGACGAGACCCCTGGTGAAAGGGTTAACGAACTAAAAGAGAAGTTAACTCCGACAACCTTTTCAGGTTAATGTTTTCAGCTAACTAACACGAAGTTGAAAGATTATATTGAATCATTTATTAGCTTTGCTTGCTAGGCTCAGTGTTTCGTGTCAGACAATTTTTCTCGATAAAATCTATCTTACACATTATTAGTCTGCTAGTCGTTTATGCATTGAATATTACTGTCAAATCTGGTGCTTCTGCAATGTATTTCGAAATTCTTGATAAAATCCAAAGAAGAATCTGCAATGTTATTAGTCCTGACCTGATTTTGTGATGTCAACGATCACTCTTTGCCACTTTTGTGATGACAACGAATACTCGTTGTCACTTTCGTAATGCTCGTTGTAGTAGAGACTTTGTAATCGCAGATACAACTATAGTACGCTGTTGAACAATACTGATGTCAGACAGCTTCGAATAGCACTCGCACTAGTAGTACTTGCTCGATAATACTCGCTCGAATAGTAATCCGTATAGTGATCCGAAAAGAGAAATAGTATAGTGAATAGAATAGAGAAGAGAATAGCGGTTCGTAGAGTAATAGAAGATAGAATAGAAATAGCCGATCAATCTAGACGTCACGCGACAGTCTATATATTGCGTTTCCTCTATGGTCACGTGATCCACTTCATTCAATAATGGAATCGCCTGTGTTTACTCACTGGCAATCTATGTTCAAACTCAAGTATCGACAACGACATTTTATTCCTATATAACACCTGACATCTAGCCTTCAGTTACTTTCCCACCGCCGTAATGTAGCCTCCTGTACCTTTTTCTGTAAATATTTTCATGGTAATTGTTCTGATGATCTTTCTCTTTGTTACCTCGATTTTACGAATTTAAGCGCTGTACTAGATTGACAGCTAGGTCTCATCATTTTACAGTTGAAATGGCTAAATGTAACTGTATGTTCTATGATAACAGTTTCTTCTCTCTTGTGGAACTCTTTTTCCGGCTTCTTGTTTTTCAGTCCAGTTTGATCTTAAAAATTTAAATGCAACCGTTATCTTCTCTGCCCTTAATTCCTGTTCTTTTATTGTTCTCTCTCCTTAATAATATTTTTCTTTTTCGCATATTCTTTCTCGCTCAGTAACACTGCGTCTTACCTTTATTACCTTGCTTGGAGTGAGTGATTACAACAAAATTTTTAACTGTCAATAAGTTGTTATGGTAACAGGAGTCATGTTTGTTCATTGGCGTCGAGTATTGTTTCCTGATACCATAACAACGGTATATCATTGCTAAAAAGGGAAGAAGAGGCTTTGTGACCGATATTATAGAATAACATGGTATATTTATTGACGATATTATTTCTCTTTGTCAGTTATTAGGCTGAAATATTTGTTGTGATTTTGATTTTTGAAAAACAATTTCTTTGTGTTATTATTGGAAAAAAATTATTTAGCTTATGGTTTTCACTTTTCTTTTCTTTTTTTTTTCTTCCGCCCTTTTATGATTCGCAAGCTTTAACAAAAAAATCAATATTTGATCCTCACTGGATGAGTTCGACTGATTAAATTAAGTAACATTTATCAGCTAAATTTATGTCACAAGTCCAAGGGAGAGAAATGTGGGACAGGAAGATTATGCTGCGCCAATCTTCCAAGAAGTATATTTGTTTTCAAGTCGGAGTTTGCATTCATCCATTATAAGCATTTGTAATTTCTTTGTGACTCAAAAGATTTTATTGTTGAAGGTAATCTGAAGGGGACTCTAAATTAAATATTTTACAGGTGTAACGAAGGAAACCGGAAATAAACAGGTACGCTAGCCTCGACCTGGTTTCACTTGCAAAAAAAAAAAATATAATCCAACCGCCATTTTACCTGACAACCTGTTAGCAAAATGGCGTTGTCTGGAAATTGTAGATTTTGGATTATTACAGGTGTGCTTTTTTTTACTTTATTTAGTATCAGTCAGCAGGGTGAGTTTGTTTATATTTTGACTTTTGAGTGTTTCTTTTTAATTTGCTGTTGCCATTTTTTAAGACAAAAATAAAATCGTTTCCCAGAAAAAAAAATGCCACTAACAAAAGTTCAATTCAATCCACAAATTAATGTATATATTAATTAATTAATAACAAATAACATTTTTTTAATTTGTTTTTTTTCTTTTATATTGAATAATGATAATTTTTTAAAATAAATTTCTTAATTTATAAATTTAGTTTTAAAACTTTAAATTACACATTTCAAATTCATTAGGTTTTTAAATAGATGGCACACCCAACATTTACCTGTTGAATTAAAAATTATATATACTTTTTAAAATTATCCTAAAAAAATGTTACACTTCCTGTTGTTTTCATTTTTTGGGGGTACTTGTGTTAAATTTTTGTAAAGTCATTTATTTATTTAAAAAGTAATGGTTGAACATTGAAAGTTTTTTCCTTTTTAAAATGGAAGTGAATGTATTGAAAAAAATCTTAAAAGACGTTGAAAAACAACAAAAAACAAATACATATAGAACATAACACTTCATGTTTAAGAATATCATTTATAAAATTTTATAATAAAAATGTCGGGGTTAAGAATTTATTTAAATTTGAATGTTATAACTTATATTGGAACCTTGATTGTACATCGGAAATAAGGCCAGAAAACAAACGCAAAAATCGTAAATAAGGTCAGGAAACAAATGCCATTTAAAGTGAATTTTTTGTTTTGTTTTGTTTTAGCACATAACTATGAAAGTGGGGAAAGAAATTAAACAATTATTTATCACAAATAAAAAAAAAAAAAAAAGGAAAAAATTATTTATTTTTCAAGTCAATCAGTCACTGAACCCGCACAGTAGTTATTGACATTTTTTTCTCCTTCAATTTAGTTCACCAGCCGAAAAAAAAAGACATCGGGGGAAAAAAAAGTTACCATTTTTTTTTTTTTTTTTTTTTTTTTTTTTAACTTTAATGTCCCAAGCATTTGTTGGAAGAACACGCGGCTAAATCGCAACAAAACCAGCAGATATCAAATGTTAAGAAAAAGTAAACATTTCAACTAACTTTTAATATTTTTACGGTAAAATCATTAAAAAAAAAAAAATAGGGTAAAAAAAATTTTGCTGACCCTTGTAAGAGAGTACACTTTTTTTTTTTTTTTATAAATCTAGCATGTTTTTGTTTTTGTTTTTAATTGTTTAAGAATAAAAATACAAATACTGAAAAAAGAAGAAAAACATAGAAGTAAAAAAAAAAAACGAGTGAAAAGTTTTAGATTTGATTTTTTAGATTTTAATTTCGTTAAAAAAAAAAAAACTGACTTCACTACTTGACCGACCGCATGTTTTCGCACTGAAAGTGATCATTTTTTTTGGGGGGTGGGGGGTGGATGCTAAACTACAAGATCTCCAGTATAACTGCAAGAATTAGAAAATGGGATCAAATTTTTGTACATAATTGAATAAATAATAATACAGAGATTAAATTTTGGGCGGAGATTCACTGTTGTTGAGTCATAATTCAACAGGTATTGCTATTATTTTATTTTACCAGAAAGCACTAGACAGGTCCACTCGTCAAAAGGGAAAACTTTTGAGGGGAAACAATTATATCAGTGATGTTCAGTTAAAAAAAACACAGCTTCAAACTTGACATTTGTAAACAAACAGTTAAATTCAGATAAATAACTCATTTTTTTAAAAATTATTTTAAATCTTTTTATTTAGTCTTTAAGTCGGAGATCGATATCAATAAACATTCCATCCTTCTTACCTTAAACTTTGACTTTTCGTTATTTCTCGTAGACCTTATTCCATCATCCATAGTCAAGCTCACTAGGTAGGTTAATTTAATTAATACAATACATTGTTTTCCTATGTCCCCTTGCCTTCAATCTATCCTGTGAGTATCAAATTTTCCAAGCCCTCTTTCCTCATTATGTACCCAAGAAATTTCAACACTGTCTTTTCTGATATGTAGAAGTGTCCTTTTTTGTTTTCATTTTCTCTAAAATTTTCTTGTTAATCCTTGGTAGCTTCAACATCCTTCTTCCTTTATGTACCATGCCTCTTTAGAATGTTGGTGATTATGGCTCTCCACAGTTTCCTGTCCTTTGTAGCTCTTAATAACTTTTGTCTTTTTGCCATCTCTCCCAAAATTTGCTCTGCCATCCATTCACTCAAGTTCACCAGTTCAGTTGCGCTTTGCTTTTCTCTGTCTCTTCTTACTTTCAATCTGTTATGTGAGTTTGAAATTTTTCAAGCCCTCTTATTATGTGCCCCAGAAATTTCAACTGTCTCTTCCTGTTAAGACAAGAATGCTAATCTAGAAAAATATTTCTTCAAATTTTTTTCTATTTAAATTTATTTTATTTTATTTATTTTTTGGATGGTCCATTTTATTTGAGTAGTGCCAACCAATTTAGCTTTCCAAAATTCCCTTGAGATATGAAATATTTTTTGACCAAATATTTATTTACTCGCTGTTATCCCCAATATATTCAGCATAGCATTTTAATCATAGCCCTTTTTAGCACAAATAAAATCAAAACTGAAAATATTTAGAGTAAGACATCAAACCATACTTAGGAAAAAGGGTTAAATTTAGGAACGTTAGATTACCTCCTCGGTTATCCATTGAAACTGCTATCTACTGAAAAAGGAAGAAAAGAAACCAGTCCCTGCCGTGGACCATTTAAAAGATAGTCCGCACAATGGATTGGTTGTTACAAACATCCAATCTGGTGTGCGGAAAACGTGGTCTTTCTTCGTCTAATTCATTAAAAAGGCCAGAGTAGATGCTAGCATTTGATTGCGAGGGGGAATCAGGAATTGATCTCCCCTGATTGGGTTGACTTGGTGATGGGGTGTATGATATTGAAAGACCTGAAACTCCCTGATGAACCAAGTCAAATTACATCACTGACGATCCTCTCCGGCACCTACTTAAGAGCATATTTTTGAATGAAGCACTGAAATGAGCAGGAAAAGAGAAAAGTGTGTGCGTGTGTTATACTATCGCTTTCTGATTCACAAATACATTTCACCAGATTTCGGTCAGATGTGAGTGCTAAGAAAGCAAAAGCCAAGATAAAAAGATGTACCTGGGAGGCTGCACTGGTTAATATTCATTTAATTGTTTTTTTTGTTTTTTTTATTTTTGAAGCTGAAAAATACATTTTTCTTTTAAATTTACAAATTTGCTACATAAGGATAGGTTTAATACTGCCAAAATGAAATTTTACTGATGCTTAAATGTTTGAAAATGTTATTAATATTCTTTATCCCCTCTTTCCAGCTTGCAAATTTCCTGATTGGTATCATGGAGAATTCTACTCTCAAGAGAAAGGACAAGGGAAGAAAACTTTTATCCAGGAAGACCTTTGGGGAAACTTCAGATGTCGTGAACTGATTATTATGAATGAAACTGTGAACAAACTGACTGGTGCCAAGAATGCAATTATCAGTGTAACACACGAGTGAGTTTTGATTCTGTGTTTCTTTCAGATTAACTGAAAAATTGTGATGAACATGTCTCCAAAGTCCAAAATTAAGCAGAAAAAATGTCACTTGAATTCTTATCTTAATTTGAATAACCTATTTAAAATTGTCACATTTAAAATTTTAAAATCTTTTTTAAGTGGGTCATCCATTTTCTTTATAATGTAGCTTCCCTGCGCCTTTTCTATAAATATTTTTATGGTAATTTTTCTGATAAACTTTCCTCTATGGTACCTAGACTTTTATGAATTTAAGCACAGTAATAGATTAGCAGCAAGGTCTCATCGATTTACAGTTGAAATGGTTAGATGTAACTGTAAATTCTATGCTAACAGTTTCTTCTATTGCACTTGTTGCTTATGAAACTCTCTTCTGGCTTCTTGCTTTCCAGTTGTTTGATCTTCAAAAATTTAAATATACGGTCAATCTCTGAGATGAGGTGTTATGATTACTTGTATTATTTACATTATTTGAACTCATATTGTCATCTTCATTGCTGTATTCACAACATTTCAAGGACACATGGCCCAGTGGATAAAGGCGTTGGTTAGATCCAGTGACTAGACCCAAAGAGTTGTGAGTTTAATACAATGCTGCAGCAGTGGTGAACCAAAACTTAGGGAGTTGAGTTAAAGGGAAATAACTAAGATATCTGGAAGAGGCATGACATGTGGAACTAGGGCAATCTACCACGATGGTTGAAATAAAGGGTTCGGTTCAAAATTTCAATCACCTGAAGAAGGCTGGAGTGTACAATGGCTGAAACATTGTGAACATGCAAATGAAGATGGGGATAACAGTCTGAATAATGTAAATGATGTAAGCAATGTCAATCATTATCTTCTGTCTTAATTCTTGTTCTTGCTCCTTAATAATGTTTTTGTTTTTCTTATATTCTTTCACACTCAGTAATCCCCTGTGTGCCTTGCTGTGTGCATTATTGCCTTGCTTGGGGTGAAATTATTAAAAATCCTAAGTTTTATCTACAATTCTTTTAGTCTTACAAAGCTCAAATAGTAGAATATTAAATAAAGACCAAACTCACTAATGGCTCACAGCTCATTTTCAATTATGTATGTCTGCTAGAGTGGCTAGTTAATCCCTATTGCAGACACCTTCCCAGGCACGTTTGTGTTTCTTCAATACCCACAGCCAACCTATGACTTATACAGCAACTATGCTAAGCAGACCTTAGAGTTTCCAGGAGAGAGTGCATAATCTAACCTGATCACTAAGTGAACAGGGCCAGTAGGTTCCAACCCTTGGTCACGATGACTTGTGACTTTGTGCTAACATAACAACTAAAAGTTTCCAAGCAATTTTGTCTATCCAATTTCATTCACGAGGCTTGGGTAAACCCATTGTATTATTTTCAGGCATTTTCTAATGCCTCCGATTTTCCATTTTCAAATTTTTCTTGATTCCATTTCCACTCCATTTTTTTTCCCGTTTTTACTTTTGGGAAATTTCATTTTTGCATTTTTATGGTATTTTATGAGAAAACTGCAATACAACATGCTATAATTATTATTAAAACTGAAAACAAAAATATAATTCAAAGTTTTATTGCATATAAAGAAATAGCAAAAATCTAAGTCCAAAAATAAATTATATATAAAAATAAAAAAATGTAACATGACTAGACAATAAAACAATGGAATGTTACAGTGCATCTTTAAAGTAGAACTTTTAATCAGAGCTTCCTTCTTTAAGAACACATTCAAATTGTTTTTGCTTTTTTAAGTAAAAGTATTTAGATTGATTTATAATTATTGATTCATAATATAAAAATCACATTTAAAGTATCAACAGTAAATAACTAGAATCTCAATAATAAATATCTGAATAAAGTCAAACATTTTGACTAAAACAATAATTAAAGCATAATAATTGAATCTTTGTAACAAAATATCAAAAAACAAATTAGACATATTAATTCAAAATTAAAATAAAACAACTTATCCCAAGTTGAAATACTACTCAAATTTAAAATTACTAATTTTTTAATTTGGGAAATATCTAATCTCTAAATCTTCCTTGTATACAACATTGTGAGTTGCTTGGTGTTCTCAGGGGTAAGACTTCCATGTCGTTTAGTGAGTAAATTTATGTGAATATGAATGTTCAGCATTTATGCTGGTAACAGGCATCCATATGACCTTAATGGCAATCTGATCCAGAAGAGGAAATCTGATCTTATTTGCATTCCAAAATGATAGGATATTAAAAGGATTTGGTAAATCATCTTGGTAATTCGCATACATTTGGAATTCTTCAAGAAGATCAGTATAACAACATTGCAAGTCCTTGATGGCTACAAAACTGCCTAAATCATGGCCTTTACAGGGTAGCTGTCTAGGATCAAACAGGTGAGCTGCCTTGTAAAAGTTATGTTATTAAAGGATTTTTTGTTAAATTTAAATTTGTTTGCAATGGTGAAGCACTGAAGATGATACAATAACTTATTAATCTGGGAGAATCGCTGTGTGATGGTAGGCTTAGACAAGCCAGTTGTTTTATAGAATGGTGTTTTTTGAGAATTGTTTTTTTTTTTTTATTTCTAAATTGTATGGTAGGCATGTGGTAGCATTTAAAGGAAATTAATTTGTTAAACTTATTGGTTTGATATTCGTCTCTCTCTCTCCTCTCCAATTTCGACATCAACTAATGTCTGTCTGCCATTTCCACTTTAGCAATGGATCTCGGTGGCCACGACCAAGCTGTGAACTGACTTTCATCTTGTTTGCAACATACAGTTTCTTAGAAAAGTTATAAAATATTTAAAAATAGACTAGCCAACATATTCTCAGAAAATCGACAACCCACTTTTTTGTTCTTAATTCTTTTTCGGGTTTTATAAGGAAAATAAATACAAAGATTTGTAAAAACATATTTTAAGGAAATAACTGTATTATGTTATTGTTATATTTATTGAAATGTTTAACAAAATCGGAGAGACAGTTATTAAGTTTTGAAAAAAAACATTAAAAAATCTGAAAAAAAAATCAAATAATTAATTTATTTATTATTGAAAATTACATTAAAAACCCAGATTCCACTTAAGACTAATGATTCCGCGATTACAGAAAATTTATTCCCCTACCAATGATGCTGCATACTGGAACTGTGTCCTTGGGAAGATGTTATAAAGAAGCAAACTCCTTGACAAATCAACTATAGTGAGATTTAAACCCAGGTCTTGTGTTCTGAATGGCAACATACTAACATGCTCACTCTGTGTTCATACATTTCTGGTCTTATCTCTTAATTTTCAAACATAGAATGAAAGTGAGTTTAAAAAATAATGTATTTTATGTTTTATAAAACTCACATTTCCTTCCAAAAATAATTTCTGGATCTTATATGTAAATTTTAGGTATCTGTATTACCAGTACTTGTTCTTAATATTGTAAATTGTTTGGTGCTTCTGACATTATCATTTAATGTTTAATGTATGCTCCCTACTTGATGTTAAATATGATTAATGGTCTCTCATATATCCAAACATTCACTTCTAGTGATCTGAATAAAGCTGGTTACCATTATCTCTCTTTACCACCAGTCTTGTTATATATCAAATAACATGATAGCAGTGAGGAAATGAATCATATCATGAATTCAAATACGAGGATTTATGTCAGTAAAAGGAAGTTTGGACTGTTTCAGTAACAGTCAATGTTAAAAGTAACAACTGTGCTGCCATTACTACTGCTTACTACAATGAACTGTCCTTACATGTATGAAAATGTTTGAGGGATTTCAATTAAATATATTACCACCAGGCAAGCTGGATACTAAAACAAATCCTTTTGAAAGATGGAAACTCTGTAAACAAGTTACAATATCAAAACTAAACTTTTTCTTCTTTTATGTGCCATGTTCCTTCTGGACATTGGCAAACATGGCTATCAACAATTTTCTTTGTAGTTCTTAATAATTTTGTCCCAGGTAAGATGATAAACTATGTTCAACAGCAAGGCCTCTGAATTGCTGGTGTTCCCAGGTCCACCCTAACCCAGGGTGGTAGTATCTGTTAGGGTCCCAGCTATGGGAAAATAGTTAACCCCCAAACTGGGGTCAAAAGACTATGAAAGTGAAAAAATAGGTTTTAATACCAGAAATACTTTGTAAAAAAAAAATTATTACTAGCAATACATTTTTGGAAAAAAAAAAAGATATTACCAGCAATACATATTTCAGAGCTCTACGTTGCGAGTGAAACAGTCACATTTGTGATTTTTCCAAGTGGTGACTAGAAATAATAAAACGCTTATCTTTTGGCGACTGTTTTTTTCACCGACAATATTCCAAAGCTCATTACTGAGTGAAAAATGTCTGTTCATTCTTTCTTTTTTTTTTTTTTTTTTTTTTTTTTTTTAATAAAATGAGCAAAATTATTTAAACAATAAAAGGTTTAATAGAACAATATACAAGATATTAATTGGCATTTTGACAACGGCAGCACACATTTTATTCGCAGTTTCATGTTTCATTCGTCTTTCTGAGCATGCGCAAAGATTTAAAGAAACATGACAACGAAGAAAACAATACTAAAGCCGATATTGGCTTTCTTCGCAAAATCGAGCAAAGTAGAAATGCTGAATGAAACTGAGACTCAAAAGAATGCCCCGAATGATAAACAAAGTAATGATGACACACAAAATAGTTTGGTTGTCAACTTTCACCTGGCTTCATTACGATAGAGAAAAAAATAATGTATTGTGATTTTGTCGTAGAGCTGGTCCAACTTTGGCTGTAAAAACTGATTTTGTAGATGGTAGTACAAAATTTAAACGTGAAAACGTCCTTGCCCATAGTAAAAGTCTTAGACACTGCAATTACTGTAGTTGGCGGGGATCTAACCCCTACTGGAAACATAAGTAAGTCATGCATTATCATAATCTTGTTGATGTTAACTTAGCTTGCAAGAAACTGCTAACTGACTATTTGGACATCTTCAATGGTGAACTAAGCTAATGCATCTGCAAACTGACAAAATTGTTGCACCACATATGATTGCACCTGGATGTATGTTAGTTTCTATGATTCTTCAAGTCAAGGAAGAATTAGTGATTGGAGGAATTATTGCCTTTGTTGCTGCACCAACCAACTGGAACAGTCAAATGGTTATTGTAACTAAGTGCATCTAGTGACTTTTGTATATTCACCAATCTAAGACCACTGAACAAAGTGTTGATGCATGAGTGATATCAGCTACATATGAATAGCTGAAGCTAACAATTGTGAACTATTTCATCAAGGTGGATATCGTATCTGCATATTGGCATATCGTAATAAGTCCAGTCATCTTACCACCTTTCAAACAGCATTTGGTTTCCTTTCAGAAGTTGTGTATGTTCAGAAATATTTCAAAAGCATTTTTACCTTGCTCTCAATGAATTTACTTGAGCAATCATTGGCACAACCCTATGAAAATCTGAAAGTCCTATTGCAGCAAAGTTGCAAGAGGTGGATCAAGCTAAACAAAGGATGGGCAAAGTTAAAGGAATTGGTGCTAATCACCATAATCTCCAAAATATTATAGATTTGTAATATAAGTTTTAACAGTTGTAAACCTTCATTCTTTAATGGAGCAGTGTGAAATTGTGTGTGCAACTGTGATTAATAACAAACTGGCTTTTCCTATTAACATTTTTTCATGTTGAATAATAATTTTTAGTGCTCCCAAGAAACTTCTTTCTAACAATGGTTTTGAATTTAACAGTGATATGCTGAAACTTGGTAAGGCTTTTAATATGAAGGTGATAACTACAGCAGTATAAAATCATTGAAGCAACAACATTTATGAAAGACTATGCAATAATTAGTAACTTAATAAACAAATAGTGTAATTCAGAAATAACTCTGGGTTGAGTTATTTCTGTTCATAGTACACTTGTTAGCATTTGGCTTTTGCTTTTAACCTAATTCTTCCAGATATGTTCAGCAATGATATATTGGAACCTGTATTTTTAAACAGTGTAAATTTATGCCTGTGAATCTTAAAGAAAATGTAACTTCTGGCAGGGTTTGAATCTGTATCCCCCCACCCTTTGAGTGGAAACCACCATGCTTTTAGCAGTCTAAAAGTACACAAGCTTTTCCCTACAAAGAGGATGCAGGTTTGAACAATTCCAGAAGGCACATTTCCTTCATTAAGCCTCTTGAATGCACAGGCCGGTAGACATAAATTTATGGTGTTAAAAAAATAGGTATGTCTACTAAACATGTGTATCCACTGAAGATAATGTTTAAAGTATTATTATTACTACTATTATTCTCCACTAAATAATTTGTCTTCAAATGTATCTTTTCATTAATTTTGCTTCAGTTTCAAATATTACAAAATGTTATTGCTTGTTCATTTATTCATTCATCTTTTTTTTTTTTTGTCCATTCCAGGAGTTGTCACAAATGTATCTACGTACTTTACAGGACAGAAAATGTTTTGCAGTATAAGTCAGGTAGGATGTGTGATCAAGGATTCTTTTCTTTTTATTTTTCAGTCTTAACCTTTAGCATTAATAATATTACTTCCCTTCCCACTGCATACTTTTTCAAGGCCTCTTAATTGCAGTATACTTATTGTTAATTTCAATCAAAGTTATTTTCAGTTACCATAGCAACAGAAAATTATTATAAAATTCAAACTAATTCAAATTCTGGGATCAGTCATCTTCTGTGGCAGAATAATTTTTTTGTCCAGCATATGAAGTCATATACAGAGTGATAATGTTTAAAAATGTTTTATTTTTTACTTATTTTTATCGGTTTTGCAACATACAATATCTTGTTAATATATTGTTGTAATTCAAGATCTTTTTCAAATTAACATTTATAGTTTCATTCTTCATAGCATAAGATCTGAGTTAACAATTTTAATTTTTTATGTGAATAGAATTGTTTGACTTGGACTTAATCCTAAAGTAAGGTTACAGAGTATTTTTTTTTTTTTTTAGCAATAGTGCCTGTATGAATGGTGTAAGGGATAATGACTGATTAAGAAATCAGAGCACTGAGTTCAAATTCCAGTCAAGTTTGTTATATTCACTTGCACTCAAATACCCTTGGGAATCCATCTCATTATACCTGGAAAAATAATTATTTTCAATTGTTAATGCAGTATTCACTTGCAGAAAAAAGAATTATTCTTACAATCCAAAATGTTTTTACTTTAAATAACCCACAAAGGGTTGATAAGCCTTAAAAAAAATCAAATCAATCAATGAATTTTTAAAACCTCTGGTTTTTGTTTGTTTTTTAAGACAACAAAATCCTCAGTAAAAAATTCATTTATCATGAATTTCAACTTGAAGACAAATAGATACAGATTTCTATTTTCCTATATGCAACCAAATTCATTAAACAAGCTTAGATCTTCTGATATGTTTTCAAGTGAGACAATATGAATATTAAGTATTCAGGATCATCATGGTTAAATGACTAGTTGGGTTCATTACGTTCATGTGCAAATACCCTTGAGAAAGGTATGAATCTATCTCCTCACTTACCTATAGGTAAAATAGCATGACTTGTTTCTTGGAAAAAAATCATTGTTATTCTCAAAAAAAGAGGTTAACAGAATAATCATTTGCAAAAACAAATGGAATTATTCTTATACATGAAAATGTTTCAGTTTTAAAGAAACCATAAAAAAAGAAATTGATTAATCATGTTTAAATGGTGTTGCTTTTACCTTTTCTTACTAAGATAAATATACTAGATTTTATTTTTATATCACAGACACTTGAAACTAAAAATTTATATTTTGAAATCTTTCAGGTATTCTTTTTCCTTTTCATGTAAACAATTTTTTTTTTTTATTTATATACATTTAGGTGACTGTTTTACGTCATCAGTTTCACTTGGCGAGCCAGGCAAATGTCGTATTTATAGACCAGCTTCTGATCAGCTAATGACTTTATATCGTGAGTATCACTCTTTAGCAAGTAAAACCGCAATTTATTGTGCATTTACTTCTGTCAAAATGTTTTATGTGGCATTATTTGCATTTGCAAATATCACCAGGATTTAGAAAAATGGATAAAATGCAAATTTTCAACATTTATATTGTCTGAATTTTTGAGATAGTGAATTTTTATACTACTCACCAATTTACTTGGATTAATACTCTGATCTTGGTTGTTATAGTAGCACTATTTTTTATCTGCTGTTGAATAAAAGTGTTGGCTAAGTAGGCACTATTACTTGGTGGTTGTGAGTTCAGTCCCTAGGTTGAGTAGGAGTCATATTTACTCTGGTTGAGTGGAAGAGACAAGGATGAATCTCATTTCAAAAGATTTAAAAAATATTAAAAATGAAATTCACACTTTTGTATCTTATTTGCAATATTGTTTTACCTCTCTTCTCATGTCTCCTTTTTGTGATTCATTGTTAGAATTTTTAAAGTTTTTCTAACGATTTACCCACATTGTTGATGCTGCAGAACATATTTCACGTCTGGTATGAAAAAGGGATTTTAACAAGCTTTCATTTTCAAGACTAAGAATTTTCTACTGACTGAAAAAAAAAAAATGTATAGAACAATATGCTGTTAAGAAAAAAGATTAACTGCTAATTGACGACAATCATACAATACTTTGGCTGGCATGATTTGATGACCAAGTTGCACGTGGCACATTTATGTCAAATTTATTTTCCTTTAAAATTGTTTGATTTGTTCCTCTGTAACAGCCAGATATTGTCATAAGGCCGTGTACAGAAGACAATGGCAACATACCTTGTTGGCCCAAACAGTCTCTGTATTGCATGCTGTATTTGTATTAAAAAAATAGTCTCTTTATTCAAAGAAGCTTTAGGTATTGTAGGTCGATGAACATGTAAATCCATTTCACTTTTGGCTAATTACAAGTGGCTACAACACAAGCTTCACAAGGTGAGTAGACTGCTTTAAGGAACATGCAAATAAGTTCCACTCTTAGCGAAATGTGAGTGTCACAAATTGAGGTAGAGTGCTTTAAGAACTGCTAATTTTTCTGCCATGGCTTAATTTTCTCATAAGTATCTAAGAGTGGGTTTTTGAGATTTTTACTTTTTTTGAGAACTTCTATTTGTCTTTTTACACACTGACTTTTACATTTTGAAAAAAAATAACTTTCCTTAAATGGCGTAAGAACTGCAACACCTGGTTTCTTATTTCAGCAATTTTATATATATATATATATATATATATATAAAATGCTCAATAGGTTGCACATCTTTTCAAAGTACAATTGATCTATATGTGATATATCTGAGATTAAGTCAACAATCTAATATAAACAGAATGTCACTTTAACAATGAACATGTCTGATTATTCCACAGATTATAATCTCCAAACTTTGAAATTCTGGACTTTTGTGCTTACAAAAAAAAATGGAGTGTCAAAAAGATTGTTTTTCCCTTGACATCACTCTTATTTTAAGTTTCTTCATGCCTCGGCAATGTTTGTTGCAATAAAAATTAACCATGTGACGAAAGTGAATTTATACATTTTTGATCTTGAAAATTTGCAAAATATTAAACACTATTGTTTATTTGCCAAAATAATTTTATATTTTCTTTCTTTCTTTTTATGTACTGTGTCTCTTCAGGATGTAGGCAATCATGGCACTCCATTCCCCCTATCCCTTATAGCTCTCAATAAGTTTTGTCACTTACTTCCCCCAGCTCATGTTCTGTCATCCACTTGCTTCAGCCCGCTAGGTATGTCATGCATTGCTTTCCCTTGTCTCTCTTTCTCTCTATTTGACTCGTGAGTATTAGATTCTCCATGCCCTCCTTTCTCATTACATGTCCCGGAAATTTCAGCTGCTTCTTCCTGATGTTAAGTATAAGCTTCCTCTTTGTTTGCATCCTCTTCAAAACCTCAGTGTTGCTCACACGCTCAGTCCATGATATCCTTAGCATCCTTCTGTATGACTATACCTTTGTTGCTTCGAGTTTCTTTGTCATCTTTGAGGATACCGTCCAATATTTGCTGCTGTAAAGGAGGACAGATGTCACATAGCAGCTCAGTACTCATTTCTTTTTTACCAAAGAAATCCTCCTGTCTCATGATGCTCTGCCTAGATTTTGGAATGTCTTTGACTATCGCGATACGTCTTTGGATCTCAGTGTCAAACTTACCATCCTCTATCAAAACACTTCCCAGATATTTAAATTTCTGCACCTGCTTGATTTTAGTGTCCATAACCTGTAAATCGCATTTCAGGCTCATCCTTTTACTGATGACCATGCATTCTGTTTTCTTGTAGTTTATGCTTAGTGTCCCTTCTTCTCACTCTCCTTCACTACCTTCTGTAGGAGGTTTTGGAATTCCTTTTCTGTGCCTGCTGTCAGTACTGCCATCTGCATATCTTATGCTGTTAAGATTGTAGCTGCCAACGATGAATCCTGGTAGGATTTCAATTCTCTCAGAATTGCCTTGCTGTATAAATTGAATAAGTCTGGTGAGAAGACATATCTTTGCCTTATGCCCCTTTCTATTTTTGTATATCTGCTGAACTCTTTATCTATGCACATGCATGCCATTTTCTGCGAGTATAGGTTCTTGATTATTCTAATATCTTTTCCAAATATATCAAGGTTGCTGAGCACTTCCAACATGTCTTTGTGGCATATTTTGTCAAACACCTTTGTGTAGTCTATAAAACATAGGTATACGTCCTTCTGTATTTGTATTGCTCTTTCTGATAACATTATGAGCATGAATATTACATTCCTTGTTCTGGTGTCTTTAATGAACCTGCACTGTTCTTGTCTTATCTCTGGCCTAATTCTGCTGTGCGCTCTATTCATCAGAATAGAGATGATGAGTTTTGTTATGTGGTTCATTAGGCTGATTGTTTGGTGCAGTTCACATTCATTTGTGCCTGGTTTCTTAGGCAGTGCTATGAAAATAGATATGCTGAGATCGTCAAGTATATCTCCACTGTTGTAGATTTCATTTATTATTTGTGTGATCTTGTCTATGCCAAAATCATGCAAGGCTGTCAGCATTTCCATCAAAACTAATACAATGTAATATTTATCATTAACCAAAAAATAAATATGAAAACCATTTTTTTCTTCATAAATTTATAAACATTTACTAAATTTTAAATATATGTGAGCCAACTATAACAAAGTCTTTACTATTTACCATTTTATAAGATCAGCAATTAGCTGATATTTTGCCAACCATTCCAATAAACAATATACTAATAGTATAGCTTTTCTTCAGCAACATGTTTTGTTCCCTGAGGAACTTTATCAAGGTAAATGTAAAGATTTTGCAACAAGTAATTATAAACAGAAGTAAAAATTAATATTAAGTTTTTGAAATTTTTTAATTTAAAAATGCTCTAAAATATTTAAAAAAACTAACTGTATTGTAAATGGTAAACTATGGAAGATGCTAAGTGATGTAATTTAATGCCTAATAAATAAAAATTAGTAAAATTTGTTTATATTTATTTAAATTTTTTAATGCATATATTATTTATTTTATTTTAATTTGGTAAATAATTTATGTATGTATTTATTTTAAATAATAGGTCTTGAGTTAACCGCTTTCTTTTAATTTAAAAAAAAAATTTATGGTTGTGTATGTTTGTATGGAAAAGGTGTTAATTTGTAGTGTAACACCTGCACTCAGTTTGAATTAAAAATTTCTAGAATACTTACATTTGTGTAATTGTACATGCTTCATTTGAATCTGGCTTGATCAATTTGATAAAATCTACCATTTTGGACTTATCGACAGTGAAAGTTCGGATTCATTTGTGTCGCGGGCAGCCATTGCTCATGTTGTTTGTATACATTCGCTGCAGAATAGCTATCAGTGTAGGTATCATTGTGCAAACTGAGCGTGTCTATGTGCAGTAATTGAGACAAATTTAGACAAGAAAGATTAGTTTTGAGCTTAGCTTTCTATAGTCTTCTGCATTTAGCTTTCCGCAGCGAATGTATGAAAACAATGTGAGTAATGGCTGCCACCAACGATGCAACTGAATCCCAAATTTCACTGTTGATAACTCCAAAATGGTAGAATTTATCAAATTTACCAAGCCAGATTTGAATGGAGCATGTACAATTACACATAAATGTAAGTATTTTGGAATTTTTTAATGCAAACTGAGTGCGGGTGTTACACTGCAAATTAACTGGGAAAGGAGTATTTCTTTTAAGAAAAATGATATTTGGAATAATCCAATGCATAAGTTACCATTTTGGGAAGAATCTGTACTCTCAAGACCTTTCCATCTAAGTTTGTTATTTTCTCTTTTAATAAGTGTGGGATTCTTGAGATCAAAATTGTGTTTGAACTTCTTTCTGTTTATAACTAATGTATTTGTTAAAATGTTACGTATGGAATCATTTTTGTGTTTATAAACACATTTTGTTTTGTGTTTTAAATTTTTGCAAGTTTCTCCAATATATTGTTAGGGACAATTTATTTTATATATATCTGCATCAAAATTATTATTGTTATGGATGTTTTGGGTTCTGATCCTATCCATAGTAGTTTGGTAGTTTGGGATGTAATTGTAATTATTTTGATATTGTTAAAATGTGATAAATTGTTTTGAATAGCAGATGTTAAGGAGTTGGTAAGTAACATTATATGACAGTTTTTATTTAGTTTATTGTTGTCATTAAGATCCTTATCTTTTTTTGTAGTTGTAGATTTTTTATACATTTCTATTAGCATTGTGGATGAAATAGAATATTGGAGGCTTCTAAAGGTGTTTTCTATGTATATTTCTTCTTTAGGTAAATATTGGGGGCTGCAGATTCTTAGTGATCTTGAATAAAAACCTATAATTATTCCAGATTTTATTCTATTGCAGTAGTGAGAATAATAGTTTTTGAGGTCATTATCCTTGGTAGATTTTTTTGTAAACTTTTAATTGAAGGTCATAATTAGTTCTTGTGTAGGCCTCT